GTGTAGGGTGTGGGAAGCACTGAAAGTGAATTACATAGTCCTGCAGACAGTCATGATGCCAAGAGGACTTCAGTGCTTGGGATTATTCCTGAAGAAGCCTTGCGTAATTTCCAGTAAATTAATTGGAATTTATGCAGATGTTACATTGAGTTGGTAATTGCAATGTGGTTAACTGAAGTGTTTTAATGTGCTGGTATTGTTTTCAGATAGTAACTACTACAAGGCCCAGGCTCTGAAAAATGCAGAAGATGCTTACCAGATTCATCAGGCCCGGGTGTGTACTTCTTCAGTGCATGAGGTGGAAGGGGAAGTGGAATAAATTGTAGATGCCCTAGAACCAGTCTTTTCTATAGTAGTCTTCTGTCAGGACCCCTGTTTGAATTGTGGATGCCAAAATTATTTTAATTTAATTATGTTGCCCTGTTCATTTGTGAACAGTTGGGAAACTGGAGGGCAGAGGATTGGATGGAAACAAATTGTGTAAGCTATGGAGACAGGCTTGTTTTCCGTTACTTACATCACTATGAGTTAACATCAAGACCTTTTCCCAGTGAAATTCTTGATGTGTGCGAGTTTGTCTTGTATCTTACCCCAGTTTTTTCCCCTCCTTATTTAGACCAGATCATTTGATGAAGATGCAAAGGAGAGTAGAGCAGCTGCCTTACGAGCTGCCAACAAATCTGGCACTGGCTTTGGAGAGAGCTATAGCCTAGCAAACCCATCTATTCGGGCTGGAGAGGACATTCCACAGCCTACTATTTTCAACGGTAAACTGAAAGGATACCAGTTGAAAGGCATGAATTGGCTGGCCAACCTGTACGAGCAGGTATATTAATACTTCTTGCAGGCATTTATATCAGTACTGAGTTTGTCTCTAAAATGCAATTCTGTTGTAGTTAATAGTATAATAGCTAAAATTTGGCTAAAAGTATCATAATAATTAGAAGATCATTTATGGGATGTAGAAATATTTCAGACTTCAAATATGTTGCCTGCCTTTTTAAAAGAAAAAAATATGTAGTAGCAAGCAGTACTCTTAATTTCTTTAAGAAATCATAAGATAAAGTACATGTGATATTGTCCTCTAGATTGTTCTCTGCATATATCTATATCTTCTTGCCAAAACTAAATTGTGCCTGAGGGGATTATACCATGCATTCATCATTTTTTATGCCTAGATCAGTCTCTAAATTGGAGACGGCCTTGCTTTTCAATACAAACATGGTTTACACTTACATTGCGAAGAGCAGACTGATTGAGAAAAAAATTGGGCCCAGAAATGGATGAAAATGTAAGAGGGATGAACCGATGGGGGAAGGAGTAGGAAGCTTCAGACTTGTAAAGTGGGCTGCTGGACCTTGAATTGATGACAGGTGTTCTGATAGTCCTCTGTTTGTAAGTGATGGAGATGTTCATATGCAGATCTTTTTTGCAGGGTATCAATGGAATCCTGGCAGATGAAATGGGTTTGGGTAAAACAGTGCAGAGTATTGCTCTGCTTGCACATCTGGCTGAGGTAGGTGGATTCTTTATGATCAGCGTACTTGATAGAAGTGGTTTACTTAACATGAGATTGAACTGAGTTCTAGTTCATAAAATTTGAATGCTTTTAAGATGTGTTTTGGGTAGGGGCCAGAGTAGAAGCTGCAGCAAGTCCCCTGCAACTGCATGATTCCCCCCACATGTCCCCTATGCACCATGCAGTTTCTTCTGCACCCTCTCTCTTACAGCACACTTTCTCTTCTGCCACTCCAGCCACCCTAGCCCCACCAGGTAGCAGTGGCTATGGCAGCTCTGGCCCTGGCCTCTAGTACTTGAATCCAAGACAAGGCTTTCTCTCCTTGTTGAATGGGGGAAAAAAACCTTGTCTAGATATTACTGTAAATACAGTAACAGCACTGGGCAAAGTTTAGAGATGGGTCAGAGTTTGAACTCATTTTTCAAACCACCAGTGGCTGTTGGTGGAACAACACTGTGGGTTTGAAAATAGACCTTGTCGCATGTTTAATCTGCTGAATGTAGGTGCGTACCACCTTACAATACTGGTAGGAAGCTTTGTTATATAATTTGTATACTTCTCTCTCTTGTGCACACCTTTTGTCATTAAGTAATCATAATGCTATGTGAAATTGTTGGATTCTCTCTTGTTAATTTGGCATTGTTTCCTGTTCTAGAGAGAAAACATCTGGGGACCCTTTTTAATAATTTCACCTGCCTCTACACTCAACAACTGGCATCAGGAATTTGCCAGATTTGTTCCTAAATTTAAGGTAATGTACATGCTTAGGAAATGTATTTCTTTTGGCTCACAAAAACTTAACTTCCATGTTCCATTAAGTTATTTGCCACATCTGAATGATCTGATTTGCTTTAAGTTTGAAGAGGTATAATGGAGCTGATCCTTTTCTCTTGAGTCTTTCTTCCTGGAGTATTACATTGTTTGATGCTTAAATTGTTATGACTTAAAATATATCATTTTAATTTGGGACAGATATTTCTTTTAAATAAATTCTCAATGAGATGTTAAGATTGTGCGGTAGCATAAGAAGGTAATTGACATGCCCTTGTTAAATGTATATATGCCACAGTAGCAAGCAAGAGTTTGCTTTCTGAATTTAACACGCCGTCTCTTGTCAGTATTTTGGAGCATTCAAAATTAATGCAGTTGAGTGACAAAGTATTAAATTGTGGACCGAAGCAGAATTCTAAAAAGCCTCAGCATTGTTAAAGGAAAATAAGCCCCAGAGAAAAATAGATAGGAAGTACTAATTAAGAAAAATAGATAGGAAGTACTAATTTAGGTTGTTGAATGAAAAATAATAAGGCAACAAAGTAAAGAATTACTGATTAATGAAAAAAACAACTGCTAACCATATGTGCATGAACAATATTTTGAGTTCTGCAAAAGATAATTTAAAAAAAAACTGAGATCACTGAACAAGTGCTAAGGAAATATTTTAATTAAAGGTAAACAAACCAGTAGTAGCTATGAGTGGTAGGAGTTTTATGAATCAAATACACGAGTCATTGTCAAACATTTAAGTAGCTTCCTGATGCTGGAGAAGTCCTGGTTTGTTGTAAAACAAGAAATTAAGAGGCTTGCATACATGGTGCTTGTTATGATAAGAATGGGATTATTTGGAGCAATTTAACAGGAGATGACAAAGTATTTAAATTGGCCCAGGGTTATTATAAATAGAGGTGCACTGATATATTGGTCCATATCGGATTGGCACTGATAAAAGGGAAATTGACATTATCGGCAGCCAGCTTTTTTTGGCTGGTGTAGCTGATAATGTCACTGATAAATGCCGCATACATGTGCACAGCCACAGCATGTACGCAGCCACGAATGCAGCCTGGCAGCTTGGAGAGTGGTGTCTGGCTGGTAAGTCTTGTTGGGGGGAGGGGCAGGGGGGATGGGAGGCAGATTGAGGTCCCCATGGTGAGGGAGGGAGTGGGGCTGAGGTAGGCGTTGCCTAGTCAGGTTGGAGCATAGGACGAAGCCATGGATGACTCATCTTGGGGGGTGGAGAATAGTGTGGCTCTCACCACTGTGCACACCCCTGGGGGGGGGGCATGTGCCTCCTCAGTTTGTGGGCAGGCTGCCCACTGTAGCCTCATGGCCGGGAGCTATGCTGGCCTCTTTCTGGGGCGGGGGCTGTGCTCGGGGTGGGTGGAGGGGGGGCTATGGGAAATTTTGGAGTGCCTGTAGTCCATCCTGTAGCCCCCGTCCCAGCGCTGCCGCCACCACCCTGCTGCGTTCCGCTCCTCCAGCCCTGAGCCTGCAGTGGGCAGCCCGCCCTTGCCCTGCATGCAAATCCAGGGAGGCACATGCCCCCATGCCTCCCCGGGGCCGTGCACAGCAGTGAGAGCTGCCCCCTTCCCACATCCCACACCCCTGGATGAGTCGCCCATGGCTCTGTCTGGCACCTGCCCCCCCTTGCCAAGAACCCTGCTGCGTTCCGCTCCTCCAGCCCTGAGCCTGCAGTGGGCAGCCCGCCCTTGCCCTGCATGCAAATCCAGGGAGGCACATGCCCCCATGCCTCCCCGGGGCCGTGCACAGCAGTGAGAGCTGCCCCCTTCCCACATCCCACACCCCTGGATGAGTCGCCCATGGCTCTGTCTGGCACCTGCCCCCCCTTGCCAAGACTGCCCCTGGGGGACCTTGATCTGCCCCCCCCATGCCCCTTTGCTCCCCCACGCCCCTTCCCCCCACAGACTTACAGGCCAGATGCTGGACTTCAAGCTGCCAGGCTGCATTTCGGCTATCAATCAGTATTGGCCAGTGTGGCTGGTTAATAATTGGCCATTGGTATTGGCCAAAAAAATCTTACCAGTGCATCCCTAATTATAAATTAAGCGTATTGATTTTTGAGGTCACTGAATAGACCAAAGCCAAGTCAGACCTGGGTTAGAATAAGAGGTATTAATTTACAGAAAATGAATGTATGGAATAGTTTTCCTAAAGATAACAGTTAGTTTTATATGTGGGAATGAAAGGTTGATTTTATTTGGAGGTAAGGAAGAGAGTACATGTGTGGCTATTTTTGCTGATTGACTAATTTATTGTATAACTTTTCCTCATCCCACAGTAAAAAAAAATAATAATAATTTTTAAATATTCATTTTTCTAAATATTTATACTTTTTACAAGTTGAAAAATATGTAGGAAAAATTCACCGTCGCATTTTACCGGCCACAAAGAACTCGCACCACTTTCTGGTCATATCTAACTGTATAATTAATTTGCTTATATTGAAATATAAATGGTGAATTTCTTTAGGCCCATGGTATAATTTCTAAAATAATTCTACCTAATCTGACATCTCTCTCTCAGCAGTCTTCTTTCAGCATGGCAGAACACTCAGTATTAACTTAGTTTAATATCAAATACATGCACTTCTGTGAGGGGCTATAGAAAGTTAGGGTTTATTAGTTGAGATGGCAGGAAGATTAAAGAGATTTTTTTCTGTGCCTCATTTTCCTTTTATTCTCAATCTCAGCCCTAAGCATTTTCTGTATTAGACAACAGGTGGCAGTGTTACACTGTTGATGTTGACCACATTTTACTGAACTGCAGTGACACTAGATACTAAGCTTAATGCTCTTTTCTGGGGAAACAGGTCAGCTGGATCCTGAGCTGTGAGAGAATCAAGGCCACTTTGGCTGTTGTGCTTACCCTTACTTGTTATGGACACACTCCACTAGAGATTACTTCAGTTTTTGTCCACAGCATAGTATGGAAGCAAGGCCTTGAAATGTAAAAGCAGTTGATCCAGAATGATAGAGGCAGAAGAGAGCAATTAAATAGTAGGGAAATTAATCTGCTTATCATTCAGGGATGTCCAAAAGTGAGTTTCTAAAGCAGCTAACAGCCTAGGACAGGCTTCTTTCTTACAATACTGAAAGTATCAGTATTGTTTTCTTTAGAAGGTTTAACTGGAAAAGGGCACAGCTTCTTCTGGGTATTAAGGGTTTAATTAAGAAAATTGTTGTCATTTTTGCATTATGTACCAGCTGCTTGAGACTTTTGTTTGTGAGAGGCTATTTCTAAATATGCTTTTTTTTTCCTTTGGGTTAAGGAAAATTTTCTCTGATATTTTTTTTGGGTGTTTGGGGAGGGGGTAGGGTTGTGTTTAGAATATTTTGATTTTGTTTTGCTATGTATGCAGTTTTATTTCAGTAATGTCAGTATTGAAAATAACATTTTTATACTTGTTTTCAGGTGCTACCATACTGGGGAAACCCCCATGACAGAAAAGTGATCAGGAAATTCTGGAGTCAGGTAACATTGGTGCCCCTTTGCTTTTACCAGAGAGTTCCATCTTTTTCATCTCTGTTTCCTTCAACTTTATGTATAAGCATGTGGACAGGCTGCCTGATCAGTCCAAATCTAAGCTTTTTCATTTCAGGAAGTGACTGTGGTTCTGCAAATAAAGTAGAGAATTTAAAGCAGATAATGTTTTAAAACATTAACTTGTGAAAAAATAGACACATTTGTAGACGAGCGTAAGGACTATGGATACTTATGGAATAGAAGTATGAAAACAAACAGCTTAGACTCTTTCTTCACAATGTGTGCATATCATCTATACTTTTTTTATTATAGAAGACATTGTATACTCAGGATGCCCCCTTTCATGTGGTGATCACCAGTTACCAGCTGGTAGTCCAGGATGTGAAGTATTTCCAGCGAGTGAAGTGGCAATATATGGTACTTGATGAAGCACAGGCACTCAAAAGTAGCTCCAGGTAACATAGACTTAAAATTTGAAAGAAAAGTTAAATTGCATTGGGATCTGACAGAGAAGTAAAGCTTACTGATGATGCTTGAGAGAGGCTGCATTCTTCTATGCACATGTTTTCAAGAGATCCAGTGAGGATTTATCCCTGTTCTCAAGCCTTCCTAACTGACAGGCACTTGTGTCAATAAGGAGGAGTACCAGACGCTGTTTCTCCTCTCAAAGGAATATGGATCAAATTAGGGTTGGTCCCTGTCATCCTGATGTTGGTGCTGTTCTGTATCCTGCTGGCCTGTTGCCCCGGCCCACATCACTGCAAAATCTTGAATTTACTTTGCTTGACATTTTTTAAAATTTCATCTACGTATAGATGAAAAAAATATCATGTGTGAGTAGTATCTGTCTTAAGCATCTAACTGAACCTACATAGATAGTTGTATGGGGTTTTTTTTACTTCATAACAAAGCTTATGTCTAGGGTGGTTCATGTCTATTTCCTTAATAAAGTTTTATTAGCTTGTCTTTTCTTTAATTGCTTTTTCTTGACACTTTCCAGAAATTGAAATTAATACACTTTAATTCTCCTCTGTGTGTTTAAAAACATCTCCAGAGCCAGGTTTATCTACATTGATGAGAGAAAATTCCCACAGAATGTAAAGAAGCTATTCCAAGGGAGCTAAAACAGATAGTTTAGCTCTCCTTAATTATGGCCTATAAACTTTGTAAAATTTTGCAAAAAATAAGGGCAAATGCTGGGGGTAATTTTGCTAGTTTAAAGGGATAAGCATTCTGATGTAGTTTTACTGCCAAGTATTTACATGCTACAAAAAGGATGTCTGCTGTGCATACAGTAAGTAAATTTGGTCTCTCTGATACCTGTCATATAATATAGCCAAGTTTTCCAATAGCAGGATAATCTTGTAGCCCCTTAAAATCACTCAGAATTAGGTCCAAAAAGCACTTAATTCTAAACATTGAGTTGATTGCTGTTCTTTTTTTTTCTCCTTGTTTTTACTTTGTATTAACAGTTTTTTAAACATTTTTGTTGGTCAGTGTTCGCTGGAAAATCCTGTTGCAGTTCCAGTGTCGAAATCGACTCTTACTGACTGGAACCCCGATCCAGAACACTATGGCTGAGGTAAGCTGGAGGCTATCTAGGGATGAATTTTGTTCACAGCTGCAATCTATTCAAGTGATAATGAGTTGCTGAGAGGCTTGCTGTTCTTTTGTGCAAATATATGTTTTTGGGCTATGTTTTGGCAAATCAGAGGGAAGCAACTGTGGTATTAGCTTCAAGAAGGAAAATGTGTGCATATTGCTGTCATTGGGATGACATGTAACTGAAGATTGCTGGGATTCAGTCATCTTTAACTCCTGGGATAAAAATACACCCCTTTTGGTTTTTCCTTTACCTCGGTTTGAAAAGTTTTCTGTATCTGGCTTTTTGTGTCTTGTGAAAAGGAAGCTTTTTTTGCCATGCCAAAGAAAAACATTGCATCTTTTGATGAGATCGCTCAAGATGGTCTGCATTATGTTGAGATTCCTAATAAGCTTTAGCTGATCCACACGCTCTTTGCTGCTTCTTTGTAGCTGTGGGCTCTGCTGCACTTTATCATGCCAACACTGTTTGATTCCCATGAGGAGTTCAACGAGTGGTTTTCTAAGGATATAGAGAGCCATGCAGAGAACAAATCTGCCATCGATGAGAGTGAGTACAGAGAGTAATCATAGTAGATTTCAGCTCTTAATTTCAGCCTGCCTTCTTATGGCCCCCGCCCCCAGATCCACTTCAAGTATATCCTTTGCATGTGTTCTGGTACAGAAAGGCAGATTAAGTGGCTCTGATTGTTTGGGCTGTGTGTTCTGTAGGTAGATTTGTGTTTCCAAACCCACTGTATCTTGCTTTATACATAGGAAAAGTTTCACACACAGAGAAAGTACCTGTTTTCATTTTTTTCACCCATTCAACAGAACACACACATGCACGCACACCACTTCACTTTGAAGGAGTCTAAAGTGTTTTGCAGGGGATATATAATATAAGATACCAAGAGATTATACCGTTCAACACTAAATGAAAGCTACCTTTCCATTTTAGGAGAAGGTCATAATTCTATGTCAACAACACTACAATGAAACACTGGGCAGTTAGGGAGAAGTAAAGAGTTTGTTTGTTTTTTTTTAAAAAGAAAGAAACTCTGGAGAAATGTAGTTAACCTAGACAGAATAATTAACTGACCTGAAATTGGGCCAGAATAGCAGTTCATTTTACTTTTGCAGCATTTCAGGATTTTTTTAACTATTGGAAAAACATTAGAACTTGGATTTGTATCTCAGCCCAAAGACTGCACATTTCTACTAGTACAGTGCCTTCTTGGCCCATGTTGGTTTAATATGTTCTCTGGGAAAAACTTGCCAAAAATGTTATGGTGACAAGCATTTATTCCAATAATATTGGCCCAGCTGAATAACCAAATATGATCTCCCCTTTTTTTTTAGTTGAAATGAGTGTCTGTTATGTTGCAGCCTTGTTCAGTTTGGGATTGTAACACACTGAATTGTTGCAGAAATTCATTTCTTGAGAGAGAACTCCAGATTTCCATGGTCACCTGTCCATCTCAATATGCTTTTAAAAAGAGTCAGTCAGAGTGGAAGGATCAATCCTGCGAGATAACTTTGTTGAGGAGAAATGGGCAAACAAGAAGCATTTAATTTGCAAGTGGATATGGTACAGTTTCTGTCTACTGGTAAAGTAATTATGCTTTTCTCCCCTTGGCCTTTCAGATCAGCTATCCCGTTTGCACATGATCCTGAAGCCTTTCATGTTGAGAAGAATCAAAAAGGATGTGGAAAATGAGCTGTCAGACAAGGTGCAAAATAAAATAATTTGGAAGCAAACATTTAATCTGACTTTTTAAAGGTCATCTGTTCTCAAATGTTTACATTCATTTGAAAAAAAATATAGACCTCTACCTCTACCTGAAGTTTAATCAAAGATTGCCCATTTACATCCCTTTCATTTCACCCAGCTCATTACAGTCTTAACATACCTGTGTTTAACTGGAGAACTCAACACAAATCTGTTAATGATCTCTTCCAGAAGTAAAACATTCATGTGAAATGCAGCAAATAAAAGAAACTTAAATCTTACATTTCATAGCAAAGTAGTTGACAGAAAAAGTAAATGAACTGAAGGAGACCAATACAGCATTAAAATATCAGGAAGAAACAATAATGCCATGCACCTTATCTTTATCTTCCTTTGGTGGTGTGCACTGGGTGTTAATAAAGAAATCATCCTGTAGATATCTCCCACCATTCTAAATACATAACATTCCTGTAACTATAGCAGTTGTCTATATGGAAAACTAGTATTAGGAATGTCTTATTACATTTATTATGTGCTTTTTTTCTAATGCATTTTTGTAGCAAGAGACAAGGAAATAATGCTTAAGCATAAATGAATGATTACACATAACTTTATATTGAAATAATAGGAGGTTTGTCTTGCACTTAATTTAGTTATTTCAGTCCAGTTGCAAGTTTTGCATATACCTATACACAGAACAGCCCATTTTTTATATTTGCACATGTACCCATACGTGCTCTGAGAGAGAAATTCTCATTTCAGTATATGTCTAGAATAAGTAGGGTGCTTGGTAATGACTTCTGCACAGAAGCGATTTTGCCCATCATGTCACGGAGTTGCATTGGAGTTAGTATGACTAAATGTTTCCCTGTAGTTTCTACCCTCTCCTTTCCTTCTGTGGATGATGGACCCATGCAGTCCTGTGTCCATCCCTGTACCCCTGTGGTGCCTTCCCTCTTTCCTAGATTTTTCTCTAAACTCTGGGTAAGAGGATAGGGGGACAGGGCCTTGCTGGAGTCTTTAAGGTCAGCAAGAATTTAAGGGGTTCTTCTTTTCTCTGACAGACTTTTAACTTTTTCCATGCTGGAATTCCTCCTTTGCACCTATTTAGTATATGTAAAGACCCTGGCGACTGCTGCTTGCTACCCTCTGGTCAACAGTACTTTACTCAAATGAGGACTGTGGGTCAAAATTTTTCAAGGTATTTAGGCCCTTAAAAATACAAGTGAAGCTTTTCAAAAGTTTCTTAGGTGTCTGCACATTTAATTACCTAAATAACTAAAATCTGCCATCCTGTTGTTGACTGCTTTTCTGCCTCCTTACATCATCAACTAAAGCCTTCCATGGCAGTATCTTCCTCTGTTAGGAAGAGCTGTTCAGGCTAGATCCTAGATTACTTCTTACTGATCAGGAGGAAGTTGCTTATGTATTTCTGGGAGATTCTGAGCATACACCTGTGATATCAGCCTGTCAGCAGTGTGCATTGATCTGATATTACTCTCTGGGATAATAGGCCTTTAACCTCACTTCTGTTTTGCAGATTGAGATTCTTATGTACTGCCAGCAGACTAGCCGACAGAAGCTGCTATACCAGGCTCTAAAGAACAAAATCTCTATTGATGACCTGCTGCAGTCCTCCATGGGCACTACCCAGCAAGCACAGAACACCACTAGTAGTCTCATGAATCTAGTCATGCAGTTCAGAAAGGTAAGGCTAGTACCAAGTGAATAATCATTATTATAATGATCACTATTACAGTAATCATAATTATTATAATACTCATCTTGTAATAAGGGGCTAGGTGATGCATCTTAAAAACACCATATTAAAAATCCTAGAATAGGCTGGCAAATTGCATACAGCCTCAATTATGGCTCTGATGCTTTGCAACCAGCAGTTGGAATATGACCTGAAACACAGCTCCTACCCATGCAGTGCTTGTAGCTGACATCAAGGTCCCTGGCTAAATACAGAAAAAAATCATTTACCTGGTGAGGAGGCAATAAAAGTGATGTGGGCTGAAATTAATGCCACATGGTATTCAGAGTTGGATGGAAATTCTATGAAATATCATTGAGTCCTCATCAGTTGCACAGTTTCAGATTAGGCCATATCCTTAAATATCAGGGTGGAATCCAGTATTTGACATCCTCTTTTTCTTGTAGGTGTGTAATCACCCAGAGCTGTTTGAGCGACAAGAAACTTGGTCTCCGTTTTACATCTCCTTAAAGCCATACCAGATTTCAAAGTTCATCTACCGTCATGGACAGATCAGGGTCTTTAACCACTCACGGGACAGGCAAGCCAACTCAACCTTCTCTTCAGCTTTTCCAATACCTTTTATTTCTTATTTTAACATGGTTGCTAACTGTCTCTCTTTACATTGATTTAATTCTGCAGCAGTTTGATTTTTTCATATCAATTTCTCATCCAAAATTTTGGTTTTGGGCAAAATGAAGATGGTACACTTTTAAGCAGAGATACTGAAATAGTAGCCTCCACAGCACTGACATTTCTGTTATATGGCTTGTTTCCTTTCTGCATATCCTCTGTTATTTACATTCACACCTATTGGAAAGCTACCTCAATGAATGGGCATTTAGCATTGCTTAAGTGGACATTACTACTTGTCTTCTAAATTGTGTGTGTTAGTGTACACCTGTTTCTTATGGAAAGTGACTGGCTGTATTTTTGTGCACTGTTATTTTAAAGAGGTCTTGTAAGGTGAACATTTTGTTTTTTTCCCCTCTCCTAGCTAGTTTCAGTATTGTCCACCCTTCATGCTGGCTAGAGTTAGCTGCAGTTCCCTCTCAAGTCAGTTTGACCCCTTTAATATTGGATGAGTTAGATATTACTAGAGAGTAACGAAAGGCAACCCATCTTCCCACAGGCTATATTTGCTGTGTTCACAGCATTCTGCCTTGACTGACTTGCAGCCCATCTAAATGGTGCTACTTGTCATGCCTGCTAGATGATCAGTGCAGCTGTTAAAAGTACCTTGAATTGTGCATTTATAAAGCTATTCAACTTCCTATAGCTCTGTAAGTGATGATCAGTCCTGTTGCCTAAGATTCTGAAGTAGCACTAGCCAAAGGACATTTTTCTAGATTTAGTTCACTTTATTCAGTTATTAAATACCCAGTGTCTGATGTTCTTTCATAATAAAAGGCTATCTGATGATCATAGGTTCCAGAAAATATAGTAAAGTAAAGGAATTTAGTCTTTTTCACTTTTCACTGATTCCATGCAACATAATTAACTGGAAAAACCTGATTTCCCTTGAGTGGCTTTTCATATTTAAGGAATTTCAGTGTCAGTTTGCGTTAACATCATATGTTGTGGGCATCTTCTGTTGCTATGTACAGTAGAGCAGCACAGTAGATCACAAACCCTTAATTTAACAATAAGGACAATATTAGCCTTTTCCTAACATGCAAATCAAACAGAAATGATGTTCTGGACCATTATGAGGTACATTTAGACTGATGTTTTTCATTAGTTAATCATCATGTGAATCCAAGTTGCTTAACATTTAAAGAACTACATTTTGTAGAGTCCCTGATAGGAGTCCAGTAAAACTCTTATACTACAACTACATGTCACTTTGGCTTGGGGATAGAGCCGTAGTGGTTATGTTATCCCAACTGTGAATGTACTTAGTTTTTCCTTTATTTATTTATTTATTTTTAATTTCAGGTGGTTACGGGTTTTGCTTTCGCCATTTGCACCGGATCACATCCAGCAGTCTCTTTTTCATAGAAGAAGTAAGTTAACATTGTGATGTTGCAAGCACTCATGTTCAGAGAGAGAATTGAGGTAGATCAACTTCTCCTTAAGGTCAGGAGACATCTGTCTGGTCACAGTTTATTAGAATCCTGTGACCTCAGCCTTTGGTATGAAGTCAGCCAATTTATTTAATCTGATTGATAGGGAACAAGATAGAAAGATACTATATGAGAATTCTGCTTAGTCCTATCACTATCCTACTTCTCTATCTTTCCCTTTTTTTCCAACTTATTTTAGTCCAGTTTGGGGGAAAGTTTATTTATGAATTCAAGATTGAAATTGTGAATGCTTCATAGGTTTCCGTGAGTGAAATCTCAGGTGCATTCTAGTTCAGTTTCTATTGGGCACTAAACTGCAGGTTCCTCTTTCACTTGAACAAGTTGGAGAATGCATATGATCCTGAATAAGTCAGAATCATTGGATCCAAATCAGAGACAAGATCAGAAAAGAAAACAAGCTTTGTACATTGACTCAGATTTGTCTTTCTCTCTCCCCTCGTGCAAGAGAACTTAATTGTTCAACATGTAGGGGCATAATTTGAGTGGAGAGCAAGAGCATATATACTATGACCAAATTCCTATGTTGAAATCTGTTAGCATGGATCCTTTCATCTGTTTAGGGTTTTGAAGTTACGATTTTGTTTAACCACAGGGGCATGGGCCTCATGGAAGGTTAGTACCTACCTTTATTGTTCTTCTGCAATTAAAACAGGTTTCTCTGTGGGGCATAATTCATTTTAGCATTGATAATGGGCTTTTCATTGGAGACATGTTTTTGGCATTAGAATATAGCCTTGCTGTAAAGTTAACTGTGGCAAGAAAATAAACAAGTGTACCTTTTCGTACCTTTTAAACTTTTCCCATCTTGTCTGTGTTGGAAACAGTGACTTGAAGACGGGGAACAACCAGTAAGGTGAAATTTTAGTATGCCTTAAAAGTCTATCTTAAGTTGGGAGTTCTTGTAAATTGCATATTATTTCTATATTTGTATATCATGAAACCTGGGGTGAAAGTACATCAAGGCTGTTAAGGTTTGCTTATTGTCTTCCTGTATGTGGGTTTGCAGTAGGTATCAATCTTAACTTTGACATTTTTATGACCTAGGTGCCAATGAAGAAAGCTGTTTTTCTTTCCTCCGGTTTATTGATATGTGTCCGGCAGAAATGGCAAAACTCATGCATCAGGGACATTTAGCCAGGTGTGGAAAGTTTGCTGATCTGATTAATTTTTAGAAAATTACTTATTGGAAAAGTATATGCAATTTAAAAGAGATCGCCGTATGAAACTTGTATTTTTGAAGCTATGAACTTTTACCTATTTTTATTATTATTGCTGTTGTTGTTACTACAAATAATGTCTGGAGAAGTGGTGTCCAACTCATTTGGTCCTGCAGACTTGATACCACCTCATTCAGCCTGTGGTGCTTGAATTTTATGGTGGCGGTGTTAATTGCTGTGGATTCTGGAGCTGCAGCAACCTCCTCTCCTCCCACTGCTAAATGTCTAGCCCCACAGGCAGCCCTGTGGGCCAGATAACACAGCTTCACCGCCTAGCTCCAGCCCATGGGGTTGGAAATTTGTCATCAGGATGAGCCATGGCAGAATTAATTGATTACTGATAGTCTCTACCTCAAAGTGCTTACAGTCCAAATTCACAAAGTAGATGAAGTGAAAGGGAAAGAAAATTGCCCAGGATAACATTGGAGGTCACTAGAATAAACAAGAATACAATCTAGCCCCCCAGAATCCCAAATCATTGTGCTGTCCAGAGACTGCACTTCATTTCTTATTATGAATTTTTAAATATACAGAGAACAAGATTCTGTTAGAATACTGATCATTCTTTAACTCCACGTATTGCCTGTTTTTGTGTGCCGCTCACAATGTGGACTGTAACTGTAAAACATATTGACAGGACTATGGAGTTTTAACCATGAATAAATTCATGCTACATCAGTAATATGAGCTCTCTTGTGAAAAGAGGAACAGTTACTTTAGAAATCATAGAATCATAGAGCTAAAGGAGACCTCAGAAAGTCAACCCTGTGTCCTAATCTTGTCTAAACCGTCCCGGGCAAATATTTGTCTAATATGTATTTAAGAATGTCATATAACAGATTCCATGGCCTCTCTGGGTACTCTGTTCCAATAATTAACCACTCTTATAGTGAAAAGGTTCTTAATATTCAATCTAAATCTCCCTTTTTGCAATTGTAACCCATTACTTTTTTCCCCTGTGAACACACCAAAGAGTTGATTGCCGTGAAGTATTGGGAGAGGGGGAAGAGTTTAAACTGAATGTCTAAATGTCAACACTTTGAAGTGAACCATCTTTGTAAAATGGATTAGTTTTCTTTAACAATGCACTATGTCAGCATAACTGGCATTAGGTATTAATGGAAGATAGCTCAATGTAAAAATGAGTGCTTTATAGTAATCTAGATGCCTTGGCAGGGCCATATCTAAGAATTGCTTACTTTCATGGTCATGGTTATTTGACCAGTCACTTCAGTTCTTTAGTTTTGTAACATGATACAACTTTCTCCTGAGTTAGCTAATCACTGAAATGAATCATTGAATGTTGTACACTTATAATGCTGGGTCCTTATCACAAATAACTTTTCTATGCAGGTGCAAAGAGAGGTGTTAAGTAGCAATGGCAACTTCTGAGTTGAGTCTCTGGAGGAAGTGCTTCAGCATGTTTTGAATTATCACTGTAACTCAAGGAAAACTTCTTAGAAAAAACTAAAACAAGACATATGTGTTAGTTTTCCCCTATCCATTTTCTATTTTCCCCAAACCCAGGGTACTGTAAGCATGAACTATTAAAGGAATAAGATTTGTGACAAACCAAACCTTTTTGTATGTATGTCAAACCCACGCTCCACAAGGCAGTGAATAAGTGCATGTACTGTGTTTTGTTTCAGATGGTTAGCTCTTTTCCTGTCTCTGAAAGCCGCCTACAGGCTCCATCACCTGCGCTCCTGGACAGAGCCAGGAGAGAACCAGCAGGCATCTCACTGTTTGAGGAACAAAGATTTTTTGCTTGGAGTCAATTTTCCACTCTCTTTCCCCAACCTGCACAGCTGCACTTTGCTGCAGGTAAGTAAAATTTTCAATGACAGGCACATCTTTTATTTAGCAAGTGCTAGCAGGTTGTGAAACAGTGAAAACCTGTGAAAAACATAAATGAATATATCTATCCACAGGACTGCTAGTTAGCCGATTTATAGGACACAGTGTAAGGCTAATCTTTTCAGCCAAAAATCTGTTTGATCTTCAGGAAAGACTTTGGGAGGTTTTCCTGTTAGGAATGGTTGATGTCAATGGGGTGATTGGGGTTAGACAGTATACTACAGCCTGTGTGGACCTCACAGTTGATGTTTTGTTTTTAAAGTATGTAAAGTATTCAGTGGAGCATAGTAAGTAACTAATATTTCAGTAACTCTTTTGTAAGCTATTCTCATTCATTACCAAAGGGAATATTTTTGCATTTAATTATGGAAGATACAATTACAATTACCTGTGGGAAAGATGAGGAGGAAATAAACAGCAAAACCTAATCTAATGTGTTGAGCACATGGTTCCTTTTCAGCCCATATCTTTTACATGTAATATGATGCTGTCACCAAACTATAGACTTGGAAAGGAAAACTCAAGCTACGGTGAGATATCGATCATTCACAGTAAAAAAATAGCTGTGCAATTTGTCTGTGGAATTAGGGACTCCTGCTGCTACTCATGAAACACAGCTGTATGTAATGAAGTGATCATCTCTTTCTTTTTTCAGGTCCCCTTTTCAGGTTGTGTTTGAAATATATACAAAGATGCATTTATTCTCTCGCATGTGCTTTATGGTTAGAATTGTAGTGATAGATACTGGTCTTATTTTGGTTGGATAGCATAAGGTGGCATAGCATAGGATACGAAAGCATAGTTAGCAACAATATGGGTAATCTTTAGCACATCAGATCAATAAAAATGAAGACCTTACATGGCTAGTAAAACTGATACTTAATATCCCAAAGCGTTTAAGTCTTTTTGATAGCTAGGCTTAATCAACTATTTGGATTTGTACATGCCATGGGCATCACCAAGTGATAAAGGATTAACGTAACAGTTCCTAACCCCCTACTCCATCTCAAGCCTGCCCAATCCCCACCCAGTCTCCAGCTGCTTTTGAAGTCCCTTGAGGCCATAAGTATACAACAGCCTTGATGCCACACTCTTGCAGCTGAATTGCTGCCTGCCTGCTGTTCCCATCTTCCTCCAGTCATCCATTGATCACAGTTTGGCAAGTGTGGTGAATACGGTTCAAAATGTTTTGTAGCCCAGTTTGTACTCACATCTCTTCTATACAGTTAGTTGTCACATGGAATAGACGGTATGTGAATTTATGGAATGGGGAGCATGCTTTATTTTGGGTTATTTGGTAATATCCCAAAAGGGATTTGGGGCCTAGCGGTGGGGAGGAGAGATTTTTGTGGTGGGAGATGGAAACATATTGATAAGATGTGCCTTAGGTATAATGTGAAAAGGGTTGATTCTTTAAAACTGAGTTACTGTTATTTTTATGAGGAAATCGTCAAGTGCCTATAGGTGCCTAGAAAAGGGAGGAAAAAGTGAAGGACTAGGAAACAGCCAGAGAAGAGTAGTTTGCAGTTCTAAGGTACAAAGGAAGTGAACACACAAGCTACATAGGGCTAAGAGGCCGGTGTAAACAGAGACCTCAGCCTAACAATGCATAGATTAATTGTGTGAGACGCTGGTAGTTTGACATAGTCACTGGTGTGTCTTTCAGCTCCGGATTTTGCTTTTACTGGGCAGACTGAATCCAAATCTGTTAACTTGTAGCATACAGCATCAAGTTAGTTCCTTTTTTCCATGGTTTTGCCTGAAAAAATGTGCGTCTATTCTTTTTTATGATTAGTAGACCTATTAACTTTTTAAAATGTACTGTACTGTTTGGGTTTTGATATTTGATCCCATGTTACAAATACGTTCACAAAAGAATAAGGGTAGAGTAAGCTGAAAAGAATCCTTGGATAGAGTTGAAATGATTCATCTAGTGGCAGTTAACACATTTATGGAGGGAAACCCTTTTTCTGAAGCAGTGGGATCTTGCTTGAACAGACTCCGTTTCTGAAAGGAATGTGGCTTCTCGCCACAAGTCTGTGGAGGTAAAGGAGAAAGCCAGAATTCAGTCAGCATGAAGGGAAAGTTTTGTTTCCTGCCTTTACGCATGTGAAATACAATCTTGGGCTTGGTGTTATATTTTGCAGCGTTATCAGAAAGGCCAGCTACCATTAATCTAATATTCAGATAGACAAACAGCTGGCCAACAGTATACATAACTCTGGCTGCACTGGAGTTCAGGTAGAACTTGATTCCAGATCTGATTTGGTGAAATGTCTGCTCTTCTCCTGTGTGGGTTTGGCTGATATAAATTTCCTAAGTTTCTGATCGGCCAGGGCAAAAGTCACAAAGGGACTTGGGCTGAGCATCCCCATCCCTGAAAATTAAGTGCCTGACTCCAGGCCTGGGATCCATAAACTTGAGTTAGGTGTCTAAGTTCCCTTCATTTTAAATGGGAAGATTAGGTGCTTATAACTGGGATTTGCAATGCACAACACGCTGAAGAGGGAGGACACTTAAGTCAGTTAATGGAAGAAGGGTGCATGTCTCTCCCAGATTGATATGGCAGTTTGGTGCCTAACTCAGGGCTGCATTGAGGCATCTGTATGAAATGGGGTTTCGTAGCTTGAAACTCCTGCCTAGACTTAGGCCTAAATGATTTCTTCATGTACAGGCGACTGGTTTAGTCTTCAGCTGGTGATGGTCATCTTTTATGTCATAGATAGTAGGTAGAGAACTTGCATAGGAAATAAGAGACCTGGGTTTTAGGTCCCCCTCTGTCTGAGAGGATTCAAGCTCATCTTCCGCTTCCCAGGAGATTACCATGACTCAGATGGGCATCTGTTAAAGCTGGACTTCTGGACAGCAAAGAATGAGGCCACAGAGCCCAAGCAAGACGAAGCACGTCTCTTTTTCAGTGAAAGGGGG